TGTTCAGGAGTCCAGAACCTTTGCGTTTCGTTGATGAGAGCCCAACAATGTCGAGTTGGTACTTAATGGCCTGAGCAACTTTCTGTTGTTTATTCCCTCTGAATGAGGATATATTCCAGTTTCCGACTGTAAGCTCCCACTGGCGGTGTCGTTCTCGTGGAGCCTTTTCTGACGTGCTGTAGTGTGTTCCCGCTGTCTAAATCCTACGTTGAGAACGGACAGGGTCTCCGTTGCTGAGTGGTATGTTCGTCGTCGTTCCGTCGATCTACGTCAGCCGTTGTGCTTTTACCTCCCACCTTCTGGTATAGGGCTATAACCAGGTTCTGATCGACAACTTTTCCCAGTCTGCCTCAGACCCCAACAGCTTGCGTGCGTCCCTCGGTAATCCGGGCGACGGCCTAGCCGCTATAATTTTCGCTGACGTTAATTCCATGAAATGCAGGTGGCGAAATTTTACGAACACGTCGCCACGGTCTCCAGCCCTCCTATTTTCTTAATCGGTCAAGGGACCTGCAATGGCAGAGTTGTGTGTGTGTGTGTGTGTGTGTGTGTGTGTGTGTGTGTGTGTGTGTATAGTATATGTATATATTCGCCATTTTAGCTGTTTATTGTGTATTTTTTCTCATCTGCAAAATGCCCAAAATGTCGCGCCTTATGCATGTCAGTTCGTATGTTAATGGATGGATACACTTTTCTCGAGTAAGCAGTTGACGTGCAGTGTGGATTATTATCTGATTGCCATAAAGTGGTCTTTCATCTGAGACTTTTAGCTCATTCTTTCAGTCCGAATATTCTTTGAGCATCGCAGTTGTATGAATCGAACTGCACGCAGTGTACTGTGGGCTATTTGAACTTTCCACTACTGTCGATCTTGGCAGATAGTTTTGCTTCTATCCACGCATGCAGACGGACGAACAGAACGCCCATTTGTTCATCTTCCCGCCCGAATCGGTTTTCAGTTATTGCTCTGTGAGGCTTAACCTGCGCAGAGTTTTCTTTCGTGAGCTGGGGCAGATCCACCTTTTCCCTGGCTGTTTCTTCTCTGCACTACTTTACCCCAGTTCTGCTCATGTTCGACATTGATGGTAATCATTACAGCGAATTTTACTGTTACTCTCCGCCGTTCGCTTGCTTCTATTCGACTATGAAGATCATTTAATTAGGCCATGACTCTATGGTATTTTATCGTCTGAAGTGCATAGAAAGTCCAATGCATATTCTGTGGCAAATGTCTTCTGCAAATATTTTAAAATCATCTAAGTGAAGAGTTGTTTCGGGCGTACCAAAAGATTTCCTTTGCTGATCTTTCCACCTTTCTGCTACGCTGGCCAATTGCAATTTTTCTGTACCCTGTACATGGTTGAAAATCTGTGTAAGCCATTTAATTTCTAAGTGTTCCCAATTCTAAATGATAAAATTTGGTTTCTCAATCATTGATTTAATATTTTATCATTTTAAAGGAGTCATTGTTGAAATGGTTTTATTATTCAGAAGTAGTGTTAAGCTGACTTATATTTGATGGTTTAATGCTGAACAATAGCCAAGTCATCATAATATTATTGTGCTCCGTATGAATAAATTATTGCGTGAGTAATAGAAGCTGCAGCCACTCAGTAGTGAAGTAGTTTTTTTAACGTCTACAGTTATCCCGTATTGTCGACCATGATCTTTCAGTTGTTTGAGGGGCGTAAATGACGATTTTTGCGTTTTGAATCTTATTTTTGTCTGTACGAGTTTCGTTTAGGAACAGGTTGTAAATCTGGAAACGGCCGTCGCTGCCGAACGTTCAAAAGGTGTTGAAGTTGTCGAAGAATTGCGAGTTGTAGAAGAAAGACTTTGCAACAGCGAGGCTATTCGTGAAGTTTTGCTTCAGGAATTGCGGGGTTCTCGCCCTTCCTCCAACGGTAATTGATTGTGCATTTTTACTTGCTCACTTGGATAGTCAATTTGCCTCTAGTAATCACTGGAAAATCTATTCGGTTCTGTTTGTTCACGTGATGTATTCGGTGACACCTTCTTTACGACTAAGAAGATGTTAATATTAGTTCTGGTTATCTAGCCGTTAAAATTGTAGGCGATTTCCTTTAAGTAGTTTAGAAGCTGAACGTCGTAGTGGATATGTGATCGAGGTTGTGTGCAGTCGGTATAACGTCAGACTCACAACACGTAATTCCTACGTTCGAGTCCCGGTCGGTTTACTCTCCTTCCTTCTGAGATTGATAAATGATCAGCACTCTGTGGAGAGGTAACCAGAGACTACTACCAGAGACGAGCGTTATACTGATCTGGCATTTGTTGCTGCCGGCATATTTATGGTGTTGTATATTTACAGCTCTTTTCCTGATTGTAGTAAACTTATTTATTGTTTAGTTGAGGTAACCCAAACCACTGAACACTTGCCGCTAGAAGTCATTCGTCATTTCAAGGACGCAGAAGCTCAGCACGGCTGCGAAAGCCACGGTATTCGAGTGTTTTTGTCAGCTATTCTTGTTTTTTATTTTTAAAGCGCTGTTGATTTAAGTTTTTGGATACGTTCCCCAGAAACACTGACAGTAAAAGACTGAACTTTTAAGAAATTAGGCATTTTAATTATTCGCCTAGCCTGAAACAGTTTGTACTTGTTGAATCAACCAGAAAACGAAAGCATTTCTTATGCTTCGCTCACGTTGGTGCGAATTCATTTCTCATCATTTTCGTCTTCGTCCTGCTTATCCGAATCTAACTTGCTTGTTCTTTAGCTCTAGTTTACATAGGATGGCATGAACTTATATTGTTTTCGTCCCCAGCAGCACGATATCGTCAACAAATCGCAGATGAGGGTACCATCTGCCATCTGTCATTGATTGAAAATCCACCATCTAGTCTGATTTTGCGTAATACCTCATGTGGTTTCAGTAAATTCATTCGTTAACTGAATTCCAAACAGGCGGCTATGGGTGTAGTAGCGACTCGCGCTGATAGACATCCTTATACAGTTAAGATGAGTTTTGCCTCTTTTGTATCAAACGCCACGTGCCCAGAAGAAAGATGTAATATCAAGTTTTAGACTGGACTTTCTGCTGTTCGACCCAATTCATCGCCATACAAGAGGCGTTAAGAATGTTTTTTTTTGTTGGTGCTTCTCGCTGTCATCAGTTCAATCACTTATTAATTCTCTGCGATCTTGCGGCTTTGACTCATCCGTTTTACACCAGCACATGGTCGGAAATTTGACTTAACCGCCAAACTCTGTTGATGGAGTTGCTTAGACAAATGCTCTTTATTAATCTGCCTCATCTTTGATTCAGACTGTAATTTCGAGCACAGTTCGTGTCGCCAACGAAATCTTGAACAGTGTAGAACATCCAGTGCGCAAAGATATGGCTAAGAGGCGTTCTGTACACGGTACGATCCCTTGCAATTTCGTATACCGTCGAAGAATAGAGACCGTAAAGCTGTTATATTTCATCTGCTTCGTTTCTTAATACACAAGTTTGAGACCAAAACATTTGTTCATATAATTATCAATGTTTTGCCAACCTTGTACATGCACACCCGTAAAGTGAGATAATGCCGTTTAAGAGCTGTTATTGCGTAATCGGCTTAAACTTTAAGGTTGTTTTGTCATAAAGCGTGAAAAGATCCGTACATCGCTGATTACTGTTGCCTCGTTAACTGAATGTTTTGCAGCTGGTGGCGGGTTTTCTCGGCTTTGCTGTAGAAGCTACTCTCCATAAAGCCTCTCCCTCTCCTTACTTTTCGATTCTTTGTGTCTATGTTTACTAGATCCTGCACTCCTAAGTATGCACACCGAAATTGGGTTTGTGAAGAGCGATCGGATGATTTAAAATGTTTCAGTTATTTTCCGTCTTGACGTGCAATTGCTTTATAATTTAGATGCTGTAACACAGACGTTTGAAAATGTGTCAGAGCAGTCGAATTTGGACATACGAGACGCAGAAATACAGCCGGTCGAATCGTTCCAAGGAAGTGAAAGTAATTTTGTCATTGTGTACACAGTCTTTACGTGCATCTGTTTGAAAAGCATTATCGATGAGATATGCATGTCACTTCCCAGAACTCGTATGACGTAAGTGCATCGTCACTGTAAGAGGGTCATTGTAAGCAGACTTCGTGATATATCATATTCGGAATATGGACGCAAGACTATAGTATGGGATTTTGGCCAGAGAGCAACTTGTTCGAAGACCAGTTCAAATTTTTTTATTCTTTGGTGTATATAGTCAGAATTACTCGCGATGCTTATGTTTTACTAATAAAAGTTAGTTCACCGACGCATCGGTTAGAATAAAGCACGCGTCTTCAGATTTCCCTGACTTTCGAAACGTTCTCTGTAGAGACTGCAGAGCGTTTTACGGACCTTGTGGTACCTCTGAGCAGTCGTTAACGATAAAGATTTCATAGGTTTCTAGCAGCAGAAGAACATGGCGATCAGCATTGTGTCGATCTTTAGAGATTACGCATATTTACGCGGCAGGAGCAAATCTGTTGTTTGTAAACCCAAAGTAGCATTCGTCGAGAACTCGTATTGATCCTGTGCGTTCTTTTTTTAAATGGTTTGTGATGATTCGATGGTTCTAATTACAAAAGCAAGATAAATTGATTAACTGCTTAACTCTGCGAACAAAAGTAACGTGCACAGCGGCAGTGTCAGTTTGACATTTTTTGGGCGCCAGGTTTAATTAGGATACTTTATTGTAGGATTAGGATAGGTTATTGTAGCTTTAACGTTTTCTTGTTTGGCTTGGATCAGGTCAGTTCATTGTTTCCACGGTGACTACCACCGTTGTTAGACGATAACGTTTGCAGTGGACTAAAATAAGGACCCAAACCACAACTCGTTCCTAATTCAGAACGTGATGTGTATTTCTGACTATTAAATTAAATAGAGTTTAGCAAAGTTTTGTTTTCTTGTTATTAAAATTTTTGTGTAGTTTTTTGTTTAAGGACCTGTAGGTTCAGGTTCACTGTTTAAATGTCCTTTTCATCAAAAACAGGTGTGGCGCAATCATTCGGAACGCCATTCTGCACTGCAGAATCTGAGAATCGTTATCATCGACCATCACAGAATACAATTCAACGCATTGACAGTGAGATCCGTCTCGAGTATCATCGAGCAAGCAAACTGTTCATCACTGCAGAGCGGCCGTGTCTGCAGCTGCTGCAACCAGGTCTTTGTAAGATGGCAGCGGGGCCGTATCCTTGCAGATGAGTGCTTAATCCCCCCACTCAGCGTATATGAACAGTTTTAGCGCTATTTGAGCCGGCGCTATTTCTGATCAGCGTTTTACCCGTTTCAGAGAGCTATTCCTCGCGGTTATATATGCTTCTACTTCTGGTCAGTTTGTTGTCTGCCTACATAAGTGTTTGTGATACAGTTCAGCTGGAATCTCTGGAATTTCATGTAGAACGACTGAAAATTTCGGCTATCCTCCTTCAGCTTTAACAATCGTTCAGCAGAACGTGTAATAGCCGGCGTTGATAGTCCACGTAATTTGGTTTTCATGCTAAACTGTGCGCCAGACGTGCGTCTATGATTCCATTACCGAATCAGCAAAGCTCATTCTGCGTAGCACCACGGATTTCCGTATCCCAGAGCAGCTTTGTGTGCTGCCTGTCTAAACAGGGTTCTTTGTCTGTCCGTCACCTATCTCGTTTTGAACCGCCTGATCCGTTGCTATGGGCACTAATTTGGTAATTAATTACGTTTAGCGGAATATCGATTACAACTCAACTTTCAACACGATCCGTCACGATGGCTTGATAAATTGCCGGACATCAAACGGCGTCCATCCTCGCATTGTTCGTCTCCTTGGGACATATCCAAAAAGGCGTCAATCAGTACGTCACCATCGGTCGTCGCAAGTCCACGGTGTAGAGCTGCGAAATAGGCGTTGCGCCGACTCGGTTTTATCACTGAATCTGTTTGAATTCTACACCAGTGAGGGCAGGGTCCAACACGTGCCAGTTGCATCAGATGCGTAGATGACACTGCCATTCTTTCCGTCGTACGGAAACATTTCTGACAAGAGTACAAGATGTCATCTCCTTGTTTCGAAATGAAGTGTCTTGGCATAAAAATGAGCAAAAGTTTCTGATGGGATTCACAAATTTCATCCAAGGGCTTCGTTTCTCAGAGAGACGTTCTGGAGTGAGGCAAAAGATGCAGTTCTTCGAACAAAGCTGCATGGTGCCGTTGCTTCTCCACGTTTTGCCCTCGCTAATGTCGATTATCTCAGAGGTCGCCGTTTGGCTCTGTCAAGTCCTTGATAAAGTTGCTAACCAACTCTGATGTACGGTCCCTTGCAAATTGCATTTAAATTCAGTCATAGCAAATGCTGTGAAGCTGGATAATAACAACCTCGTCTGGCGTCCTTTTCACAACTGACATAGCGACCGCAGATGTCGCCATTTTGGCCGTATAGGATGCGTAAACCTTTGTCGATTTGAAGGAGAGGCCCCTTCAAGGCCATCTGCTAGTTTAGTCATAACGGGTGCCTTGAATGTTGGTGATAGCATTATTACCGACTACAAACATCCTCCTCTTTGCAGAGACATAGCAACTTATACATCGAATCATCAAGGAATCTGCAGCAAATTTACGATTGACTGGTGTACGACTAAAACTTTCAGGCAATCTACAGTGCCTTGTATCATTCACTGCAAAATCAATTTCTGCAGAATAGATGAGTTTTTCTCCTGAAAAGAAACATTTCTACCGACCGATAGCATGAAATAGAATCGACCGACGTGGTGCAGTGTAAGAAATTGAAACCTGATCTTTAGAGTTGTATATCTAGTCATGTTGTTTTCAGTTGGTCGTTGGTGAAACTTCTATATTTATTGACACATTCAAGTAAATTTGTTTCTAGTACTAATACTGCTCCCCGAACAGTAGTAGACCAGACTTTGTAGATGCGTCTTGACACAGCAT